GAGAGGGAGAAACCAGAGAGGGAGAAACCAGAGAGGGAGAAACCAGAGAGGGAGAAACCAGAGAGGGAGAAACCAGAGAGGGAGAAACCAGAGAGGGAGAAACCAGAGAGGGAGAAACCAGAGAGGGAGAAACCAGAGAGGGAGACACCAGAGAGGGAGACACCAGAGAGTGAACTGCATTATAGAGATACCACTTTACACGTTTATAAAGATTGGGTAAAATGCAGAGGACACATTTCCGTATGGAGGCAATAATGTATCATTCCTACCTCATCATATCAAAGACACAAATGCAAATCTCAACTTTAAGCAATCATTAACATCTGGCGCCCCATTCTCATCAGAGTTCACCTGTTTTCTCTGCACCTCTGAGGCCTGCACTGTATACAGCACGGCTCCCATCTCTCCTCGCTCCTTCCCTTGAGTCCTGTTCCCACACTTTTGGGTCTTTTCGCACTTTTCCGTCTGCGAAAGCCGGTCTAAAAATGTGACTGAGGTTGAAAAATATATGCACGCAAAAATGTGTCACAAAATTGAAGAAATAGTTGGATACATTTGATCACGCTATGCTGTTTTTTTGTGGATGGGAAGCTTTAACCTGTCCTGCCAATACAAGGAGAAAGTCAGGTCATGTTAAGTTCTGTGGAGAGGTTTATTTGAAACTGCTTAAAGTTTCTCATTTAAAAACCATGTAGGAAAAATATCAATATCAATGTGGACACAGTGGAAGCTAACGAGCTACCGGCTTACTATCCACTTTGAGTTCTTATACATACTTCCATATTTATTATTTCATTTTTATTTTCTATCCTGGACTTGTGTTTGTGTTTATGTGTATATGTCTGTTTTGAGATTATTATTTTTTTAAATAGTAATAAATAATAAAATAAATAAAAAGTTTAGTCCTTAATAATTAACAGGTAATTAAGTGCAAAATAGTGTATAATATATGGTTAATTGGCTTTTAATTGGTATTTATAAAGCATTTATTAGTCCTTATTCTACTTCAACTTTATTCAACATGTAATTAACCACTTATAGCATACACTGATTAGCACCTAATTAGCTGTTAATTTGTGAAAGGTAATCTAAAGTGTTACCCACATTTTCAGTGCCGTATATTCAAAAGTTCGAAAGTGCATCAGTGCTCGGTCTTAAAAACAACAGGTCTGATATCTCCGGGATCACTTTATAGCCTTAAAACATACAGCTACTATAACATAACCATTGTGATAAACCAAGGCCCCTGTATAGCTGAATTCTCACACTATTTTTTCTCTTTTGTGCCGTGACATGCATCTAAAAGTATTCCAGGTCACACTTTTCTTCCACAGCTTAAGTCAAGTCAATCCACCCAAGTTTTCCCAGAAGAAGGTTAGTTTTGAAACATTAGCCGCGTGACGTCTGTGCACGGGTTTCTCGCACACAGTGTATTTAGCAGGTCAGGGCGTGGGGCTGATTCACGAGTCTACTTGAACACTTGATAGGCCAGCTGTTTCCAAGAAAAAAAGAATCCAATTTCAAATATTCATGTCATAGAGGCGTACTTACAAAGGGGATGGATAGGGCCTGGTTAGGTTTTGGCGAGTTACCTTTTCCAACCATTGTACTCACCGTGGTTTCTTAAGGTCATGCTGAAATATTGGATCTTGTGGTTTGGAATTCTGTTAGCTTATCCCATTGCTTTGTGCGAGTTCGAGTAACTAATGCTTTCTAGGCCATCTCGGCACCACAGAGACCAGCCATGTTTATTACAGAAATAGTTCACCAATTTGGGACATGGAGTGTGGATGGAGAACTATTTACTTTGAACATATATGTTTGTTTTGTCCTTATGGAATTATGGGATGAAAGTCGGAGCGCTACATTTGGGGAATTGTCTTGTATACGTTAGGGCTATAGTTAAAGCCGGGGCTATATTTTTTCATAAATAATGCATATTGTTTGTTTGTAGCTTTATCCATCTGTCTTTTCTTTTTCACTTTTCTTTCTGAAAAATCTGATCCAAACATGTGAGGTTAAACTTACATGCATATGGAAACTAGTGATAAAACTGTTTTGAGAGCTAGCAAGCTATAGTAAGTTGAAAAAGTTGAAATTCCATGTTCGACAACTCCAGTCCTGGATCTACAGCCTGTTTTCATGGGAGCGAATCCCTCTACCATTGGTTGCTTGCCGATGGTCTAAGGACAGTGATAGTCAATGATTGATCTATGGTTTATCTATGGTTTAACAAAATCAATTGGCCACCCCGCTCCCTATAGACCAGGTGTCTCCAACCTTTTTCACCCAGAAAGCTACTTTCCTGGGACAAAAAAAGACAGAGAGCTACTCCTTCAAGCTGAAAATGCTGATATACTGGTGTGAAAAAGCCTGATATTGGGTACAGTCATTATTTACCATCACATGTGTTACTAGTGCACAAAGTAAGTGCATTTACATTAATAAATATTGATAATAAATCCTTGCTCGCCACCCCCTGGAAGGGGGGTGGCGAGCTACTGGTGGCTCCTGAGCTACAGGTTGGAGCCCCCTGCTAAAGACTCCTATGTGTTAGTTTTTACCACATTTCCTGTGTTCAAACTGTTGGATTGTCTGATATGTTGTTGAGGAATCGACAACTTTGTAGCTTTGTATCGCATCGGCCCATTCTGAAACATACCCAGCCCTAGTGCAAAAGTTCCTGGTGTTACCCTCCGGATCTGTTTTTGATGTGTTTTGAAGCTCAAAAATGGACACAACGCGTCTCCATTAAAGCCTGTTACTTCCCTGCCCTCGTTTTGAAGTCCACCACCGCTCCTCCGTGATCTTCGTGAACAATGGACGTTTCGCTTGTCTCCTGCAGCTCTTGATGTTTCGCAGTCGGGATCAAATGGAGTTTACATGCCCTGATGCTTGATGACTCATTAGCATGGCCTCCACAACGCGAGCCACCCCCTTCCCTTCTCCCAATGGCCCCGCGAGTCGCAACATATTTCATTTTTAATAGCTTTCTATCCATCCAAATCGAGGCTGAGCAATCGCCTGTTGACTCTCACGGACTCCTCTGTTTTTCCACTCTGCGCCCTGCATCGCAAAGTGCTCATTTATCGCCCCCACCCCTCACCAACCCCAGCCCCCACCAACCCCAGCCACAGCCGCAGTCTCCCCACGTCAGAAGAATTAGCTACCGTTTTTGCCACGAAAACTCCAAATGGTTCTCAAGAATTCAGCGTAGCGGTAGATCAGAAGCTATTCATATATTTAGTGCTCAAACAGTTTGGGAATATTTTTAATTAAGTTGTCAAAACCAATGGAGCAATATGAATTTCATACATGATAATTGTCAACACGTACACTTGTTTTGGCCAAATAACCCAATGCTGTCTTCATGTTATCACTGCACTGTGATGGGAGACATCTGGGAACACCAGTAACAGGCCCTTCTTTAGTCCCACTTGGCCCTGGTTCATGATTCATGCCAAGCTGGTACTAAAGTCTAATCAGTGAATCTAACTTTCACTGATTGGACTGCTGTGGAAACCATGGTTACCAAGGTATCTCCCTGTATACTTGTTTACTTGCGGTACTAGATACTAAAGTGTAATGGAAACACAACCAGGTAGAGTAAAGTAGGGCCAAGTAGGGCTGGTGGAGACACTGCTTTGTAAATTAATTTTTTTAATAATCTTTTGCTATTTCCTGACAAACTTATGCAAGGCCAACGTATAATCCTTCAGTATGTACGCTCACATAAATTCGCTGTCATACTGGTGAATGAAGGGCCGTCATATTTGCAAAAGAAACAAAAATGTGTAGACGCCAAAATTTCACTATCGTCCCCCATAATAACTCTAACCTATTTGCATTTTAATTGACTGATCGCACAACGCACGTGAAATGAACCGTGTCAGAAGTCCAAACATCATTTCTGCCGTAACAAGCAATTAGGTTTTGCCAGACTCGACTATAAATTTCTTCAAGGCTTGTTATTTTATTTTTTTTTTTTCATTTGCCGCTTTAACCTCTAGTGTTCAGTGACTTTCCCGTTATTAAGCCGTGGCATGTAAACAGTGACAATAGTCTTTAGTGTTGGTGACAAAGGGAAAGCTGTTTGTGATTGTATTAAATGGGGATTTCCAGTGAGACATGGGAGATCTGGTTAATCCCTCTAATGCAATTTGGCGTCATCCATGAGACAAAAATAAAATTAGATATGTTTGTGTTTATTAACCGTGGTGGTGATGGGAAATTATAACGCAACAGTTGCTCAAGTCTTGGGGCAATTTTATGATGTGTGGACGCCTCTGTATTTACAGCCAACTGCACCTCATTCTGTTTTGCTTTTGGGGTTTCCACCAGTCATACTGCACTCTACTCTATTCTACTCTATTCTACTCTATTCTACTCTATTCTGCGTCTTCTGAGTCTTCTCTACCTTACCCTGCTCTATTGTACTCTATTCTACCGGAGTCTTCTCTTTGCTACCCGACTCTACTCTACCCTTCTCTACTATATTGTACTCTACCCGGGTCTTCTTTACCCTACCCTACCCTACCCTACCCTACCTTACTCTACCCTACTCTACTCTACTCTTCTCAACCCTTCCCTTCCCTTCTCTTCTCTACCCTACCCTACTCTACCCTACTCTACCCTACCCTACTCTACTCTACCCTACCCTACCCTACCCTACCCTACTCTACCGTACCCTACCCTACCCTACCCTACTCTACCGTACCCTACTCTACCGTATCCTACTCTTCTCTTCTCTACCCTACCCTACTCTACCCTACTCTACTCTACCCTACTCTACCGTACCCTACTCTAATCTTTTTTCTGCTTTATTCTGATCTTTTTCAAACATCTGATGGACATCTAAAAACAACTCCAGTTCTGTGACTGATGTGGAACAATGTTGTAACATGGTTAAAAATCCCACCTTGCTTTCCCACAAAAGTGTTCGACTCTGCATGTGTCCTAAGCTGATCCTTCACATGTCTCCTTGTGTCCTCGTTCCCCAGGATACCGGAGGGACAGGCTGAGGTGGGCTCTCTGGCTGCTGGACGACTGCGCTCTCTGGAAGATCAGCTGACTCGAGCCAAACAGAAAATCCACAGCTTTCAGAAACTCACGGGAGACGGTAAGAAATTATATACTTTTGTTGAATTTTTTAATTTGGGTTAGAGCTGAGTCACATGACCGAAAGGAGAAATCAGTCAAATGGGAGGAGCTCTGAGTAGAGCCACTGCTTCTCCACGTCAAGAGGAGCCATTTGAGGTGGCTTGGGCATGTTTGGGATGGACGCCTCCCTGGAATGTCCAACTGGGAAGAGACCAGGGGAAGACCCAGGACACGCTGGAGGCACTGTGTCTCTCAGCTGGCCTGGAAACGCCTCTGGATTTTCCTAAATGAGCTGGAGTATTTGTGTGTGGAGATGGAAGTCTGGGCGTCTCTGCTCAGACTACTGCTCCTGCGACCTGGCAACGGATAAAGCGGAAACTAAATGGATGAGTGAATGGGTTGAGACCATTGGTTCTCAGGTTTAATACTAGAATATTCAGCATTGCAGCAGCATATAGACGTTTTTTGCACTGGGGACCATTTCAGTTTCTGGGACTATATTTTAGTTCTTGTTCTCATTTCCGTGATCCCTGAGGGGAAAAGGTTAAATACCACTCTAATGCCAAATTACAGTAATAATGATAGAAAACCATTTCTTTGAGATAAAGGCAAAAAATATGATAGACTACAATTTCCAGTCCCTGAAGCCGCTGTAGAACGTGTAAAATCACTCTAATCCAGAAGAAATCCAACCTCTTCACGTACGCTGACAAGACTTGGCTCTAACATCTTAACTCTCATCTGTAGAAAAGCCAGAGGGTATTTTTAGCTTTGTTCGTTCCCTGCGGCAACATGGCACAGATGACCCAGCAATGGCTTTCACACTTCACATATTCCTGTATTGCTTTCAATGTGAAGACTTTATTCATGCAGAATTCTTGGCTCTAGACAAGCAGCAAGAGTACTAACTTTGAGACCACAAAAAAGGAACTTTCTTATAAAACCCATCTTTTTCCTAGTTCTCAAACTGTGTTCTATCAGTTTTCAATTCCATGATTATTTTGTATAGCATATAGTAGTTTTCTCGGAAAACTTTACAAAGCCTTCGATTCGCATGTCAGAGAGTCAAACGGTTCAAACACAAGAAATTCAATGATAAAAAAAAAATGTCATGCCATGTCAATAAATGTTGATAAAATGTCGTTGAATGTTCAGTGTCCTGGATCCTCATCACAGTCTTTGACCCTCCTGCATAGGCAAGTAACAAACCCAGTGGGATAAAAATGTATTACATGTATGTCCTCTCCCTCTCTCATCTTCAGATCATCGTTTTTCCATTCCAGCAGAACAGTTAAATAAGAAAAGAGCCAACCAATCAGCTGTCGGCTCAAAGTGCCAATTGTGACTGACAGAACTCTTAACGAAACTTGTTATGTTGGGATCACAGCCAGTAAATAACATGGACTGCTAATGGCCTATCTTTCTCATTCACTCTCAATCAATCAATCAATCAAAGTTTATTTGTAGAGCGCCTTTCATACACAGGGCAACACAAAGCGCTTCACAGTCCACATCACAAATCATCACATAAAACAAACACCAGAATCACAATTAAAACATTAAAATCACACAAAAGATTAAAACACAATTAAAACATTAAAATCACACAAAAGAATAAAACCATTAAAACTTTCAAAATTACACAAGAAATTTAAAATAAATAAATAAATTACAGCAGTGCATTAGAAATGGAGATAAAATCCTTCAGTTGTATGCACAGGCAAACAGAACAGTCTTTTACCTGGATTTGAACATTGACAGAGTAGACGCCTCCCTCACATTTTCAGGGAGATTGTTCCAGATCTTAGCTGCATGGATCTGAAACGCAGCCTCCCCATGTTTGGTTCTCACTCTGGGCACCAGCAGGAGGCCAGTCCCTGTGCTCCTCAGAGTCCGGGCCGGTTCATATGACACCAACATGTCACTAATGTATTCTGGTGCAAGGCCATGGAGAGACTTGTACACAAGCAGAGCCGTTTTAAAATCTATTCTTTGAGCCACAGGAAGCCAGTGCAGAGACCTGAGGACCGGACTAATATGGTCATACTTCCTGGTTCCTGTCAGGACTCTAGCTGCTGCATTTTGGATGTACTGCAGCTGCTTACAGGTCTGTTTGGACAGACCTGTAAGCAGGCCATTGCAGTAGTCTAGCCTGCTGGAGACAAATGCATGGACAAGAATCTCCAAGTCTGCCCTGGACACTATATTTCTAACTTTGGCAATGTTCTTCAGATGGTAAAAAGCTGTTGATGTTATTGATTTTATGTGGCTATTGAAATTTAGGTCTGAGTCCAGTATTACCCCCAAATTTCTGACCTTGTCTGAAGGAAGTAGGGAGAGAGACTGAAGTTGACAAATGACGCCCTCTCTTTGTTTCTGGGGACCAAAGACAATGATTTCGGTTTTGTCTGCATTTAGCTGGAGGAAATTATTTTGCATCCAGTCACTGATCTGTTGGATACAGTGAAGGAGCAAATCCAGTGGTCCATGTTCTCCTGCAGTCAGTGAGACATAGATCTGAGTGTCGTCGGCGTAATTGTGGTAGGACACTTTGTTTCTTTGTATTAACTGACCTAACGGCAGCATGTAGAGATTAAATAGGAGAGGTCCCAGGATCGACCCCTGTGGTACTCCACAGGTCAGGGCCACATCATCTGAGACGCAGTCTCCAATCTCCACAGAGTACTTCCTATCCTCCAGGTAAGCCTAAACCAGTCTAGGGCTGTGCCAGTGACACCAACCCAGTCCTCCAGTCTCTGCATGAGGATCTCATGGTCGACAGTGTCGAACGCGGCACTAAGATCTAACATGACCAAAACTGTGACTTTACCTGCATCAGTGTGAAGTCGAATGTCGTTTGTTACCTTCACTAGAGCGGTCTCAGTGCTGTGGTGGGGTCTAAACCCAGACTGGAACATATCAAAAGAATTATTCATTGTTAAAAATTCAGTAAGTTGTTGGGAGGCCACTTTTTCAAGAATTTTTCCAATGAATGGCAGATTCGATATGGGGCGATAATTTTGAAGTCCCGCAGGATCCAGACTGCTCTTTTTTAGGAGAGGTCTTATGACTGCTGTTTTTAGGGCCATAGGAAATGTTCCTGACGACAGAGACATGTTTACTATTTGTGTCAGTGAAGGTAACAAACTGCTCAGGACGGACTTCAGAAATTTAGAGGGCAATATATCCAGGCTACATGTGGAGGAGCTCAGACTCATGATTATCTTTTTGACAGTTTCAGTATCCACAGGTGCAAAGTGAGTTAGCTCAAAAAGCTTCTCTGGCTGTTGCATTGTTATACGTGCTGTGGAGGTGATAGTGTTTTTGATTCCTTGTACTTTGTCCTTGAAAAACTGTGCGAACTCATTACACCTAGATTTAGAGGAAAATTCTAGGGGCAACTTTACAGGGGGGTTCGTTAATCTACCAACTGTTGAAAACATAACACGAAAATTGTTACTGCAACCTCCAATAATGTCAGAAAAATACATTTCTCTTGTTCTACGTAGAACCCGGTTAAATTCACCCAACTCATCTTTAAAGATTTCATAATCGCCCTGGAAATTGGACTTTCGCCACTTCCGTTCGGCCCTCCGGCACTCTTGCTTCTGTGCCCTGACCGAGTCTGCCTTAGTCCATGGGGCCTTTTTCTTACTGGTAACTATTGTAACCGTCACAGGAGCAATGGCGTCCAGAACAGTCAGAACACTGGTGGTGACAGAGTTATACAATTCATCAACAGTAGAGCATGGAGTTTTCTCAAAATTTAGCATTCCCATGAACAGTTCACTTGTGTTTTCATGTATGTGTCTTCTTCTAACAATTGTAAATTCAGCTGGTGGTTTGCTAGCAAAACACATGTCAAAAAATACACAGAAATGATCTGACAAAGCAACATCAACTACATTAACATTTGATACATTAACCCCCTTTGTAATTAGCAGGTCAAGAGTGTGCCCCCTGCTGTGGGTGGGGCCACTCACGTGCTGAATGAAACCAAAGGTCTCAAATACAGAAGCCAGCTCCTTTGCATTTCTGTCATCAACATTATCAACATGTACATTAAAATCACCTGTAATAACTAAACTATCAAAATCTGTGCACACGAATGAAAGTAGTTCAGTAAAATGGTCAATAAAATCGCAACATGACTGTGGTGGCCTGTACAGGACAATGAAAAGAGTATAAGATTGCTTTTGTTCCATTTTAAAAGAAATATACTCAAACGATGAAAAATTTCCAAGGGGCATTCTATGGGAGACAAAGTGCTCTCTAAAAACTGCAGCTATGCCTCCCCCCCTTTTGTTTTCTCGTATTTCGGATTCGAATTTAAAATTGGGTGGTGTTGCTTCTATTAGAACTGCATTTCCTGTATTTTGGTCCAGCCATGTTTCAGCCATAAGCATAAAATCAAGATCATAAGAAGTGATAAAATTATTAATTAAAAATGATTTGTTACATAGAGATCTGACATTAAGCATAGCAAGTTTAAAAATAACGTCAGAGTCGATTAATGTGGTTGATTGATTTCTACAGGGAACAGAAATTAGATTTGCAGAGTTGGACCGTCTAACTGCTGTCCTGTTTTGATTTCGTTTTTTAGAATTTAAAAACATTTTTGAGCTGGTGCGAGGAACACACACAGTCTCAATTGGCCTAAAATGTGAAAACCCTTGTTGTTCTTTAGCTCCCAGAGTCAGAAGGGAGTCAGCACAGTTCAGTGTTTGGACTGGTAATGCACTGCCAGACGGACAGGGAGCAGTGTTTGCACCGTTGTACTCACCCGGTGCTGGTGAGCAGGAGGAGGGGGAGTGCGGTGGGGTCCGAGGGGGCTCAGATGTAAACAGTCACGCCCCCCTCGGGGAACGCTGAACAACATGACGCATGTAATCCATCAACAGGCTGCTACCGTATCTGTTTGGGTGTAATCCGTCTGGACGATAGGCGCTTCGTAACGTTTCCAGAAAAGGGCAAAGTTATTCACAAAGACAAAGTTAAAAGAGCTGCATGTAGCCTGGA